GAGCTCCTGATAATTCTCCCGTTTCTGTTTCTGCTTCCCATCTCTCCACAGGAACACTGGGTAAACAGACACAAGATACTGCAACTTGCTTTGCATCATTTCTGGAGACTCAAACTCAGGAACACACATTGCAGAGCAAGTGCTTTACCTACTGAGTGATCCCCACAGCCAACTCAAATAGCATTTTTAAAAATTAATTATTATTTATCTTTTTGAGACAGGGTCTCCCTGTAGCCCCAGCTGGTTTGGAACTTGCTATGGAGACCTAGCTGGTCTCAATCTTAAAGATGTGACTGCCTCTTAAAAACCAGTGGCATGTAAACATATGAGGCAACTCTTCAATATCTAATACTGAACTGCTAAAGATATTTTAAAATTTATGTGTGTTTTGCCTACATGTATGTAAGTGCACCACATGTGTGCAATGCCCACAGAGGTCAGAAGAGGGCATCATATTCCCTGGACCTGGAGTTAGGGACAGGTTTTAGCCACCTAGGTCCTCTTGAAGAGCAGTAAGTGCTCTTAACCTCTGAGCCATCTTTCCAGTCCTGCAAACTATTTTTAAAATATACCACAAAAATATTTCCAAATAATAGGAAAATTATAACCTATCTGTGGCTCACCTTAATTGCTATTTCGGAAGTTCATCTTTTTAAATATCATACTTTTTAGTTACTGTTTCAAAAGGAAAAATCATGATTAACTTTAATGTTATTCCATTCATCAAAAACCCAGAATAAGTCAGATGTGGTAGTACATGCCTTTAATCTGAGCACTTGAGAGGCAGGGGCAGGTGGATCTCTGGGAGATCATGGCCAGCCTGGTCTGCATATTGAGTTCCAGGTCAGCTGGGGCTACAGGAAAACCCTGTCTCAAAGAACAACAACAAAAAAAAACCAGAGTAAGTTAGCAATGTATGAATGACCAAAATCCTTCCTCAAGTTGATAGAACTCTAGGGCTTTGGCATATACTTTCCATCATTTGTCTATACAGGAAAAAAAAATTAGATGAAAATATGTTACAATGTTGAAAGGATGGTACAAAGTAATAGAAAGACACCTGTAATCCAAAAATAATGAGAAGTACCATGAGAGTCTCATGTCTAAAATTTAAAACACCCATGACATATATAGGAAAACATTCAACCACTACAGAACTAATCACTATGGCTCTATGTTATAGACAGAGAATCATGGTCAGTCCCACCAGGAAGGCCTGTCTACAGTCCTCACTGTCCACTCTTCATTTGAATACTAGGTGACAGAGTGCTGAAGGCATACTGGATATAGACAGAGAAGAAAAAAAAATCAATGACATCTTCATTCACCAACATTAATTTTCCAGGCAAGTAAGGGACTCACAGCATTTTTACCTACAGAAGCCAAGTTCAAGAGGGTTTCCAGTATCACATGCCAGTACAGCCTTTTTGGAAAAATACAGCAAAGCCCACTCTGCCATGGTGTAGTGCTCAGATACAGCTGCAGTAGTCAGTGACTCTTAGAATAATATACAAATGAAATGCAGACACAGCACTGGAAATAGTCACCACCTAAGTTGACATAATGTTTTGTTCTCCAAATATTCACTTTCTGTCATGTTCACTGCTCTCCATTAATAATTAAAACTCCCAGGCTGGTGAAATGGCTCAACAGGTAAGGTCTGCAGTCAACTCTGAAGAACTGAGTTCAATCCCTGGGACCCACACAGTGGAAGGAAAGAACCAAGTTCCATAAGTTATTTTATGACTTCCACATAGACACTGTGGAATTTTATAAATTTTTATAAAATTTAATAATGTGTTCAAAAAGTAATTAGACTCTTGCTGGGTGTGATGGCACAGGCCTTCAGTCCCAGCACTCAAGAGGCAGAGGCAGGTAGATCTATATGAAACTGAGGTCATTCTGGTCTACATTGCAAGCAAGTGCCAGGTCAACTGGGGCTACAGAGGGACTATGTCTCAAAAAGACCAAAAAAAGGGCCAGGTATGGTGGCACACACCTTTAATCCCAGCACTTGGGAGGCAGAGGCAGGCAGTTCTCTGTGAGTTTGAGGCCAGCCTGGTCTCCATAGCGAATCCAGGCCAGCTGGGGCTACAGGGAGACTCTGTCTCAAAAAGACAAAAAAAAAAAAAAAAAAAAGAATTACACTCTCATACAGCCCTAATGATGCTAGTTTGAAACTATTTGGTAAAGTAGTAAGAGGACATGAGCACATGAGCACCTGTTATCATGTTGATCCCAACAATTACTCAAAGAGAGTAACTCAGAAACTACACTGGCTCTACAGTACTTCACATAACAAACTAGTTCAACCTAGAACCTACAAGAGTACTGTGAGCTAGAGGCTGAGGAAATGGCTCAACAGCACTTGCTGCAGAAGAAAAGTTAAGATACTCAGAATCTATGTAAATTCCTTGTGGGCATGAGAGCTACATTAATTTCAGCTACAAAAGATGACGTGGGCTCCTTTGAGCTTGATCAAAGGAGATTCCCACTTCAGGCCTCCAACTCGTGCAATCACACACATGTAGGCAGAAATATAGGTGTGCACACACACATATTACAACACACACACACACACACACACACACACCATGAAAAGAAGACCCAGGAAAAACAATATCATCTTTCCTATGATTTTATCTTAGAAATACTTGGAGAAAAATGTTGTCCACTTCTGAGATCTGTGAATTAATGGTATAGATGCCATCACTCTAACTGAAAAGCAAGGCCTGCTGTCCAGAAAGTTTGTGCCAACAATATGCTAATTGTTTAACTCATGTTCTCTCTCCAAATTCTTAAATAGTTTTTAACATTTTCAAGAGAATGAGCCAAACCAATGGGTACCCAAAGTTATTCTGGAACAGGATTTAGTACTGAGTTAATCTGACTGATAATATATAACTCTTCTAGGCAAAAATGTTTACCTTGGTAACAGCACATATCTTACCATAAGCAATTTATAGAGTCAATGCAATTCCCATCAAAATTCCAATGGCATTCTCCACACAAATAGGAAAAAAAAATCTAAACTTCATTTGGAATCACAAAAGCCATCAGATTTTTTTTTTCAGTCCTACCTAAATAAAAAGTGTAATGTCAGAGGTATTACATACCTGATTTCAAGTTAAATGGCAGAGCAGTAATAAAAACAGCATGGCACTGGCATAAAATGGACACATAAATCAATGGAACAGAACAGCAGATCCAGACATAATCCCACAAAGCTATGGCTACCTGATTTTAGACCAAGATGCCCAAAATACTCATTGGGGAAAAGACAGCCTCTTTAACTAATGGCACTGAGTAAACTATATTCACATTCAGAAAAAGAAACTACACCCTTATTCCTCACCCTGCATAAAAAAACTGCAAACACATCAAAGATCTTAGCATAATACCTGAAACTGAAAATAGAAAGTCAAAATACTGTTGTTTGCAGACAATGTGAACAGATAACTAAGAGGCCCTCAAGACTCCACCAGAAAACTCTTAGAAGTGATAAAAGCTTTCAACCATGTCAGAATAGAAAAGCTGGCAAAATTAGAAGCTTTCTGTCTTAAAAGCAATAATAGCAATCAAGGAAACAATCACATTCAAAATAGAAACACGAGGGCTGGATAGATGGCTCAACAGGAAAGGGCACTTGCTCTACTGAAAAGGACATGAAACCAGTTCCCAGCATCCACATTAGGTGGCTCCCAACTGTCTGTAACTCCAGCACCTGGGGATCCAGAGGCATCAGGCCTCTGGTCGCTATAAGCACCTGCACACCCTTGCACAACTCCACATACAAAACACATAATAAAAAAATTAAAATAAGGGGCTGGACTGCTCTTGTAGAGCTAACAATCGTCCATAACTCCAGTTCCATGGATCCGACTTTCACCTCTGACCTTCAATGGCACTGCACAACATGGGTGTACTTACACACATGCTGGCAATGCACTCATACACACAAAATAAAAATATTTAATTAAAATAAATCTTAAAAAAATAGATACATGAAGAAAAGCAAGGAGAAAACACTGGAATAAACCTAAACAAAGAAATGAGAAGTTTAAAACACTGAAGGAAAAAGTTCAAGATGCACTACAGTATGGAAAGACCTCGCATGCTTATGGACTGACAAAATCAATTTTGTGAAAATTTACGTCCAAAAGCAATCTATGATATCCATGCAGTCTATGTCAAAATTCACATGACATTTTTCACAGAAATAGAAAAAAAAATCCTAAAGGTCATATGGAAGCAAGAAAAAGCATGGATAATCAAAGCAACTGTGAACAAAACATCAGGTTCCTGGCACAAATACAGACATGTCAATAAATGAAACAGAATAGATGAACCAGTTGTAAAACTGTGTAGCAGTCTCTTAATTTTGACAAAGATGCCATAAGCATAAAGAATTACCTATTCCACAATTGATATAGCCTGACTATCTACATTTAGACCAGCGTGGTCTACATAGTGAATTCCAGGCCAGTTGGGGCTAGATGGAGACCCTGTCTCAAAAAAACCAGCACCACCACCAACAGAAAACCCAACAAACCAAACCACTAAATACCAAGAAATCAAAGAAACAAAGAGACAAGCTAATAAAATGAACAAAGCATTAAAAGATGAATACCCAAGAAACGTATGAAATTTCCTTGCTCCTCAAACCAATTCTCAAGAATTAAGATTGTTTTCTACTGTGGTTTGTTTCTAGACAATTCAGGGAACCCAACAGAAATGACTTGAAACTACATTTTAAAATATGTTTGTGCTAGGGCTGGAGAGATGGCTCAGCAGTTAAGAACACTGGCTGTTCTTACAGAAGACCCAGGTTCGAATCCCAGCACCCACATGGCAGCTAACAACTGTCCGTAACTCCAGTTACAGGGGATCCGACAGCCTCTTCTGTCCTCCATGGGCATTGCGTGACAGGGGTGCACTTACCTAAATGCAGGCAATACACACATACACATAAAAAATAAAAATAATGTAAAGAATGTTTGTGCTATCATAAATGAAAAGGGACGTTATTTAGTGAAAGACAACTAAAGTATATGTTTGCACTGAGGAAATCATATCTGCAACGCTTTATTTCATTAATAACCTTTATTTTGATCTTTGCTTTTTGTTCTTGTTGGTCTGGCAGGAATCAAAGCCAAGCCAAGTGTGCTGAAAAAGTGATGCACAACACTAGCTTTATTTCCATCTCATAAATATTTGTTCAATGTTTGCTCAGCACCTCACTTTTCTTACCAAATTATCAACACCAGCACTAAACAAGTAGTTTTCTCCAGTTACAGAGCAAAGAATGCCTCCATTTTACATGCTTAATCATAAAATTTCTTCATCTACCATGCAGGAATGTGAAGCATATTTGAAAAGTATAATCTAATACGTGTGTTCTGAGAAATACACACTTGTTTGAAAGAGTAATGCTATCTCTGTTCACTGCTAGGCTTGAACTAGGCTTATATAAACACACTTCTGCTTTTATACATAAAAGAGATGAAGAGGTTGTAAGCTACCTAATTGAGTGGATTTATGTTTTTTCATTGACATAAGATAGCTAAGTTATGATATATGCATTTTTTAACATGAAGACAGTGGGAAAGCCAAACAGCAAAGAAAAATGGCATTTGCCTTTAAAGCTTAATCTCATGCCGGGTAGCAATACGCTGAACTGCATTTTCTGATGATAATGGGCAGCAGTAGTGATGCTGTGCAGATGACCATGTGTTCACATACAAAAAACTGATACTGCACAGCTCATTACACCCAATGAATCATTTATTCTGAAATACACATGGCTAGATGTTTTTAACTAACTTTACATTAATGTAAGTGGCAGAAACACTGTGACATAGTATAGGCTAAGGGTTAATGTTCATTAGTTTGGATGCATTAAATATCTACCTTGTTTAATATTTTCCACTTACCATTTTAAGGAGACTGTAGGTAAAAGTCCATATAATTAGAGTTGAAGTCATAGAAAAGCCATGTCTTTATGAGAAGCATACCAGCAAAACTAGGAAATTCTCAGAGATTAGAATAAATTGAAATAATAATGTCCTGGTTACATGCCTCAAAATCCAAACAATCTGAATGATGAAACTGAGGAAAATTGCCATCTTCTTTAAAATGTGATTAACTTGTAGTCATGCACTACTTACTACAGCTGTCCAGGTGAGAACTATATTATGATTACAAAAGGCAGAACTATATTCAACCCCAAACTGCTTCCAACTAATAAGAACAACATACTATATTGAATTGTAACCAGTTCACTTAAAACAAGTATCATGTTAGAAATTGGATGGAAATTGTTTCTACTGAGGAATTATAGCATCATTATCCTATTTGAAAAGATTTACTAGAATTCATTACATCCTATTGGGATAAATGATATGGTCTTGTTTATCTCTGGCCAGAGAACCACTCATATCAGCAATGAGCAATGGAAAATTTATATTAACAATTGAACAATATAAACATGAAAGTAACTTTTACATGATAAAAAGCAACTTCAAATTGATGAACATTAAGTTTTAAGTTAGAGAAAAAGTACAGTTTTAAACTACACTGAATAAAATATTTGAAAGTATCTTCAGAGTAAACAGGAAAGTTAACATTTTTAATATGCTTATTAGAAAACAGTTAAGATTGTTTAAAAAATGTACAAAAATCTTATTTGGGTCTGGTGGCAAGGCTCAGTGAGTAAAAATGTGTTCAGCACAAGCCTAACAGAGAACCAACTCCTGAACGTTGTCCTCTGACCTACACACCTGTGCTGTACACTACCCACACCCACATACAACACACAAAACAGATACACAGAGAAATACTAAAAACTTATTTGAAGAAAATGTACACTGAAAATTACCCAATAAAAAATCTACATAAGAAACGTTACACTGAGAAAAACTGAGTATGCACCTAAATATAAAGAAACTGACAAGCAATTAATATTAACAATATTAAGAAACGTGCCAGAAAATACTAACAATTAACAAGCATACATTTTCAACTTCACATGACATACAAGTACTAAAAAACTACTTCAAATTAAGCAGACTGGATGATTACAAATGCATTTAAATTCAATGAAAAAACAGCATTGCTCTAAAGTTTTAAAAACTTTATGCCCACTAAACTGAAATTGCATTGATTTACCAAACTTATCAACTTATACCACCAAAATTCAAGTAGATTCTTTATAGTGTTAACTGCTGTTGTTCCTTGAAATAGTGTCCAGGTGGTCTTCAACTGTAGTCTCAAGGTATTCTCCTGCCTCAGCTTTCCAGACATCAGGGACAACAGGCAGGCAAAAATCATGCCAAAACTATATGCCAAATCATACATTTAAAAGGTAAAAAAAGTAATGCAAAGCCAAAAGGTCTTGTGTAAGAACAGAAAAATAATAAAAATATTTTAACTTTTATTTAGTGTATTTAAGGTTATTTTCAGGTATATTCTACACAAAATTTGCTTCAAAGTCTTCACATTTCTTGCTTTTACAAGATTTGACTGCATGAGTATATTTGATGACTTTCACCATATTTGAAAAAACCACTTTCTTCTATTTTTCACAATGAATATTTCATTTGGTTGGAGCTGGTTCTTCTTAAATCTCCTAAGCTGTGTTCAAACCCACTACATAGCCTAGGACTTAATCAATGTTATTTTCCAGCCTCTACCTCTCTAGTTTTGGAATAAAAAACATGCAGCACCAAAAATGGTCAACAATGGGTTTTGTCCTACGTACATACACTTGCACACATGAGCCAGAATTATACTTCCACAAGTCTCACATTCTGGTTTCTCTCCACACTTCTTTCATACCTTGCAATAAAAGCAAGTTAACTATAGGGACTCCAAGATGGTTTATACTGGTGTAAGTTCTACCCACTGGGTTTCTTTTCACTGTGAGTTCTTTCATGTTGGTGAAGGTATGTGGAACATGAGAAGGCTTTCCCACATTGCTTACATATATAAGGTTTCTCTCCAGTGTGATTTCTTTCATGTATTTGAAGGGATTTTGAAAAAGTAAATGCATGCCCACACTGCACACATACATATGGTTTCTCTCCAGTGTGAATTCTTTCATGGTTGTAACAAGCCCTATGTTGGATGAAGGCTTTCCCACACTGCTTACATGCATAAGGTTTCTCTCCAGTGTGAATTCTTTCATGTTTGTGAAGGTATGTGGAGCATGTAAAGGCTTTGCCACATTGCTTACAAACATAAGGTTTCTCTCCAGTGTGAATTCTTTCATGAATGTAACAGGCACTGGAATAAGTGAAGGCTTTACCACAATGTTTACATGCATAAGGTTTCTCTCCAGTGTGAATTCTTTCATGGATGAGAAGCTGAGAGGAACGAATGAATGCTTTGCCACACTGCTTACAAACATAATGTTTCTCTCCAGTATGAGTTCTTTCATGATTGTTACGGGTTGTGGGATCGCTGAACGCTTTGCCACAATGCTTACATAAGTAAGGTTTCTCTCCAGTGTGAATTCTTTCATGTTTGCGAAGATATGAGGAACGTCCAAATACTTTCCCACATTGCTTGCATGCATAAAGCTTTTCTCGAGTGTGACTTCTTTCATGCTGGAGAAGGTGATAAGAATGAATGCATGCTTTCCCACATTGTTTACATACATAAGGTCTGTCTCCGGTGTGAGTTTTTTCATGATTATAACAGGCCCTTGGATGGATGAAAGCTTTACCACAATAATTACATGCAAAAGTTTTCTCTCTAGTATGAATTCTCTGATGTTTGGTAAGGTGACTGGAATTGACGAAGGCTTCTCCACATTTCTTACAAACAAACTGTTTCTCTCCAGTGTGGATTCTTTCATATGTTTGAACATAACTGCAAGTCATGAGGGCGGTCTCAAATTGCTTACATTCAGGGAGATTATCTCCAGTGTAAGTTGTCTCATAATCCTGATCAGAAGTGAGACTAGAGGATGCATCAGATTGTTTACTTTCATGGGGTTTCTCTCTAGAAAAAGGGCTCTTGTGGGTCACAAAGTACTTAGAATATGTAAAATCTTTCCAACATTTATTATGTTTAAAAGGCTTTTCCACATGTTCCTGATACTCAAATAGTTTCTCTCCAGTTTGACCTCTGAAGTGAATATCTGACTGTGAATGACTAATGATGTCTCTTTCAGACACATTGCTTTTATATAGCTCTATTCCAGGAGGAATGTCTTCATTAAGAATATGCTCTGAAATCTGTTGGTGGGTTTCTCCACACTGACTACCAAGTTCATATTCATAGAATCTCTCAACCACCTGTGGGCTGCAAAAAACAAGAAAAGCATTACTATTGTTTTGTGATTAGTCAAGAGAAGAGTTGGAGGCTGGGTGTTGTAGTACATGTTATTATAGTATTCAGGAAGCAGATGCAGGAGGACTGCAAGCCTGAGGCCAACCTGAGCCATGCCTGGGAAAAGTGTTGTTTTTATTTCTATAAGTATTTATGGACATCAACGGACTGACATTCATCTATGGGTCCTGAGGACAGCATACAATCCTATAAGGTTCTAGAACACGACTTCTAGCCCCGAAAACAATCCACATACATTCACAAAAATGGTGAAAAACATTGGAGACACACAGTGATGTGACTAGTTCACTATATCCTTTGTTCTTCAAATATTCCTTTTATATCACAGCTTGATCACATTTGACGAACCTTAATGGTCTGTGCCAAAGTTAACAAAATTGAATATTCCTTATGCAAAACAGCATGAATCAGCCGTTATGGAAATTGAAACAGCAAATATCTTTAAAATGCAATTTATTGAAGAGGGTCACTATATGCCCCAAACTCACCTTCAGATATCTGACACTGAAAGTCTAAAGGTAACTTGGTAAAAAATATTAGTAATTTCAGCATGAAGGAAAGTTTTTGTATAATAAGGCATCTGAAAATGTCTTTCAGAACTTAATGCTGTACCACATTTTGGCAATATGATACAGTACGGAGTTGGGAATACTCCAATGCACTTTGACAAAAATTTAGGTTAAATCAATTTATATTTAGAAGTATTTGTATCATTTGCTTGGTGCTCAGATTTCCTATCGCTTTGAAATATTTGATGCAAATTAAATTCACTTCTCGCCAGTTGGATCTATGTGGTGAATTAAAGGCCAAAATGGACTACATAGACAGACCATGTTTAAAAAAAATTAAAACTTTACAGAGGAAACTGAGACAGTACACTCTTAAAGATAACAGTTTGATCTGTATGAAAAACATATTGTTAGGCTGGCAAGATGGCTCAGTGGGTAAAGGTGCTTGCCTTGAAAGCCTCACAACCCGAGTTAGATCCCCAGAACCCACAAAGAAGTCAGACGCAGTATAGCACAGCTATAAACCCAGCACACCTGCCAAGAGATGTTCTCCTGGAGTATGGAGCTCGGCAAAACAAAAGAAACCCTGTCTCAACAAAGATGGAAGGAGAGAACCAACTCCCTAAAGTTGTCCCTGACCTCCACAGGTACATGGCATGCATGCACCCATACTTACACAGACACAGACACAGACACACAGACACAGATACACAGACACACACCACACACACACACACATACAATGAAAATAAATAAAATATATAAAGAAATATAATAAAATTATTATGAATCATTTTTACATGTGGTATTGTATTGGGATGAGTTGAATTGTTTTCTGCTATGTGGATATACTAAAACTTAACTAATTCCTTATTTGTGACCTCTAATTTTTCATGTTTTCAAAGAATACTTACCACTAAATAAAATTTATGGACGCTTGCTAATTTAGACTGAGCTCCTGTACTAGGCCCCAATAAAACAGACCAGACAAAAATGCTGGGTATCATGTAATCAAATTGGAATTGGAAATGAGTCAGTTTCAAAAAATAAAACAGATTTATAATTACCAATACCCAGGGGCTGACATGATAAACCTTATAGGGAAAATAACTGTAAAGACCAGTCCACCTCTTCCTTCTTTTGCTCTTTCAACCTTTCTGTGACAGTAAAGCCTACCTTCATTGGCACACCCTTCTTTCCCACAGATGGGATGGTGTCTGATCACAAGTCACAAAGAAAAGCCAATTCAGACCTTGAACTCCATTTGTTGAAATCTTGTTCCTTGATAAACCTTTGTATATTTTTCATATCTAGTTGTTCTAATATTTTCAAAGTATTGAAATATTGAAAAATATAACACACACACACACACACACACACACACACACACACACACATTTTGACTGTCTCCTTCCCCATCCCAATTTGATTTTTTTTTTTTTTTAAAACAGGGTCTCCCTGTAGCCCCAGCTGGCCTGCCTCTGCCTCCAGAGTGCTGGGATTGAAGGTGTGTGCCACCACTCACAGATCTCATCCCAATTTGTATTTCTTATGATAACTAGAAGCTAGATGTATATTCCATTTGAACTTTTATATATAAATTAGCCAGTTCATGATGTAGCTTAGTATATGTGTATGTAGTACATACATGTGAGTGTGTGTGCACATGTGGAGGCCAGATACAGATGAATGGTGTCTTTGCTATTGCTCTCTGCCTTGTTGCTTTAAGACAAACTCTCTTACTGAACCGGAAGCTCTTTGGTCAGACTGACTGGCCCTTGAATGCGCAGGATCCACTCCTACAGAACCAATGGTCACTGCCAGGCACAAGCAGGTCTTCCTGGCTAAGCATGGAGGTTCTGGGAATTTGAACTCCAGTTTGCATACTTATGAACAAAAGCACTTTTATCTCAGTCCCATGGTTTATTTTTAAACAAAATTTTAAACAGACTATATATTGTCCAATTTTTAACTTAATATTTGCAATTTTCAATGTCAATACACATATTTAGGTTACCAATAAGTTCTCTATATACAAAACTTTAAAAAAAACTATGATATAGTATCTGAGCATGGTAGCTTACACCTGTGATCTCAGCACTTCAGAGGCTGAGGTGGAGGACTGTTATAGTTCTAGACCAGTCTAGCCTACATAGTGAGTTCCGCTCTGTCTCAAAAACAAACAAACAAACAAACAAACAAACAAACAAACAAACTGATATAGCTATAGAGTTGAACATTCCTAATTTGAAAGTCCAAAATCTGAATGTTCTAAAATCTAAAAAAATTTGAGTATTGACATGTCATAAGTGGAAAATTCTATACCAAGAAACTCCCATGAAGAACATTATTTTAAACGTTTTATAAGTTATCTTTAGAGGCCAGCAAGATGGCTCAGGGAATAAGGGCACTTGCTGCCAAGCCTGATGACCTGAGTTCCATCCCTGGGCCTCCTTGTTGGAAGGACAGAACTGGCTCCCACAAGTTGTCCCCTGACCTCCACTGAGCTGTGGCATGTGTGAACATGTGTGCACACACTAATCAATAAGTGTAATTAAAAAAAATTAGGCCCTTTGTATAAATTATATATGAAAGAAAAATTTATTGTCTAATACTGGGTCTCTTTCCCAAGATATCTCACTATGTATGTGCAAATATTCCAAAATCTAGAAAAATCCTAAATTTGAAACATTTCTGCTCTCAAACCTTTTGGATAAGAGATACTCAGTTTGCACAATGAAATACTATGCAACCATTAAAAAAAAATAAAAAGATCCCTATGAAAAATCAAAAAATTTAAAAAAGTTCACTTCTCTTTGAATCTAAATTACCTCAGATTTCTTCCAAGAATTTGGTAGTCCTTTTCAATATTTTCTTCTTCCTCTGTTTTCCCTAAAAAGTTAACCCAAAGAAATCATTATGATTTATTTATTCAACATCATACAAAATTTATATATTCTAGCCTTTTCTATGGTAAATGACCAGGTATACTCTATTCACCATCTTTCTTTTCAATATTTCAAATCCTACAACAAGAATGACCAAGAAATAGCTGCTTTCTAAATGGACAAAGAAAGGAATTATAGTATATTTTTTACCTATGGAAATCAGGTTCCTAAATGTTTCCTTCATTACATCTCTGTAGAGCTCCTTTTGACAAGAATCCAACAAAGCCCACTCTCCTAGGGTGAAGTTCACAGCCACATCCTCAAAGGTCACTGACTCCTAAAAATAAACCATATATATTTAAAATATTAATTGTGGGAAAACACTGGAGATACACAATGACTTGATTATTTCACTTCATACTTTGTTCTTCAAATAATCCCTCTACATCATGGTCAGCACACATTTACTATTTATTCTTATGCTTATGCTGTCACACAATTCTGCTACTTTGGAACTATATGCACAGTAGAACATGATCAGTTGTTGTAATGCTGGTCTCAATATGCTTTGTACACTGGATGAGCCAGAGCAAACACCAGTTCTGTGGAGCCTGTAGGGTTATCAGAAATGTCTGCTAGCCAACAGTACCATTTCTGAAATCTGGGAACATCTATTAGAACAGAAACAAGTAGTCTAACTGTAAAAGGGTGGGGGGTGTCTTTCTGCCATGAAACAGTTAAAGAACAATATAGTAGTTGATAAACGCCTAATATCCTTTCAGTGTTTCAAAAATCTTTCTGACATACTCAGATACTGTCTCTGATCAAAACGCAAATTAAAATCTGGGTGAAAAATCTCTCATCAAGACTTTGACTACTCAACCCTTACCTAGATTTTTACTAAGGACCAGAGCATTCTGAAGAAAAGTTCCTAGATACAAACTTGGGAGAGGCAGGTGTTATGCAAATATTCCACCAAGGGTCATGGTCCACATGGCCCCAGCACCTGACAACCTGAGTTCTATTCCTGGAACCCACATAAAGTGGAAGGAGAGAACCAACTCCACAAATTTGTCCTCCGACTTCCATACATGGATGCAACTACACACATGCATCACACACACAAACACATACACATCAGCAACAACAATAACTCAAAAATAAATAAAAATGTGTCTCTAAAGATCTTTGAACTTTAAACTTTTTATTAAGGAGACTAAAGGACCCAAAAAGAGAACCTTGGCTTTTCCCTGAAAAGTTTATATTAAGTAATCAGAGGCATGTCAAATAAATAATGATGCAAACATGAGAATAACTTGGACCCAAAAGCAAAAGATAGCAAGAAATAAAGCAAGAAATATAACAAAGATGAGAGGAGAATTAACAAAACGGAGACCCAAAGAATACAGAGTCAATCTTAGAGGTAGTTCTTTTAAAAACTAAGATGGACAAAACCCTAGCCAAACTAACAAAAGGGAAGGAAGACATCAATTAATAAAACTAGGGATAATCAGCTGCACAACTTTAATCCCAGCACTTGGGAGCCAGAGGCAGGTGGATCTCTGTGAGTTCAAAGCCAGCCCGGTCTACATAGTGAGTTCCAGGACAGCAGGGGCTACAGGGAGACCCTGTCTCAAAAAGACCAGGACACACACAGGGTACACACATGACACGGACAACTAGGGATAATCAAGAAAGGTTACAACAGATTACAATGAAAACCTAGAAAATCTGAGCTGGAGAGATGGCTCAGTGATTAAGAACACTAGCTATTCTTGCAGAGGACCCAGGTTCAATTCCTAGCACACACACATGGACACTAACAACCTTCCATAACTCCAGTTCCAGGGGAATGTGACACTCTCTTCTGACCTTCATGGGCATTGCATGACACGGGTGCACTTACACAGATGCAGGCAATACACTCATACACATAAAAAATAAAATATTTTTTAAAAACTAGAAAATTATTAGATTCCTAGAAACATATAACCTGCCAAAATTAAATCAAGAGGATATAATCAACTTAAACATCTGGGATGTTTAAACGAGACTGAAACAGACAGAATAAAGAACCCTGACCTCATAATCCTTTTTGTTTGGATAAGTCTGGAGCAAAACAAATAATTTTTTTTTTTTTAACAACTACGTGATTCTTTGCCTCCCAGGCTGTTTTCACGACGAGCAAAGTTGGAAACGCTTTCCCAAAATTCCTCTTTTTTTCCTCAGAAATTAATAGCTGAATTGATCGGTGCAAACAAATTTGAAGCAAATTTAAATTTCTCCCTTTCTAGCAAGCCTAGGTATTTTCACCTACTCTCGGTCAGAGAAAGCAAACAAACCCTCTTGCATGACCATTAAAAAAAAAAAAAAATCAACAAAACGAGAGGTGGGTTTACCTAAAATAAGCAAGACCAGAGGTTCAATCCCCAGCGTTTACGAAATAAAATCCTAAATGATCACAGTGGGAAATTAAATCACGGCAACGGGAAGTGGCCAAAGTAGAATCGCAGCAGCGCACACCACCCAAGTCCTTTCACCCCAGTCTGGACTCAGCATCACCAGCCCGCCGGCGCCAGTGTCTGCGAAGGCTCAGGTTGGCAGAGCGGATTCACCAGACAGGACCGGGAACTGGGACGAAACAGCTTCACAGGACAGGGCAGGACAGGACGCCGGGCTCCCGGCTCACTACACAATTCCAGTACACTCGGGGATGACGACGCCAGAGCCGGACTCCGATTCTGCACAGCACCAGGGGAACGCGGGGGCGACGGCCGCACACCGCACCGAAGCCGCCGCAACGTCACAAATCCGCCGCCCAGGACTCCAGGTGCCACCGTATACTCACCATTTCCTGCTTCTCATGCATCCCGGTGTCCGCCCTGAGGGGCCGGCGGTCTAAACAACTGACAGTCCCCGAGGACCGGTGGCAACACAGGACTCAGGCATAGCGGCAATGGCGGCACACTCCTACTATCCTTGCATCTCAATGGACAGTTCATGCAGGAGAGTAACAGCGTCTGTGATTGGTGAATGATCCACACCCGCCTCCTTAAACCTAAATGACAGGATTTTGTTAAGCATGGAGCGTAACAAGCTGAGTGGGTCTTAAAACTGTTCTAATTTTTTTTTTTTTGGACTAAATCTGGTCCAAACTGGAATATCATTGCATTTAAGAACATGCGCTAAGCTTTGTAAAGCAGGCGCTCACTTCCTCGTGTACTCAGTGAGCCCCTCCTGCCTTTTCCGCTTACAATAGTGCCCCAGTTCTGGAGATCCCAGACTCAATGCCACAAGGAGAAAATCCATGGCATTGTGAATGAAGGTCCCCAGAGAAAACCTGCATCTTCACAACTTCAGCTGAACCTCCTCCAATAAGGCTGATCAACTGATTAGAACTCCAAAGACTGTGGAGTTTGGAATATTGCAGGTCCAGCGCCTAATTCCAATTTATCACTAACTGTAGCCATTCCTTGCCCAGCTCTGTGTCTGGCCTAACATTCTTGATTAACAGATAAAGACCTTTGGAAGTATTAACTTAGCAGACAGACCATCAGCTTCCCCCAACCCAAGGGCTAAGGATGCTGTTAGTTAGCATCTAAACTCTATACCAGAATTCTCCCCACTTTGCTATAACCTGCCTCTCTGATGTCTCCATCAATGAATTTGAAGTGTCTTGATTTATGGTTTTCTTTGTCCTTTTACTATAAAAACTTCATAAAACTGTTACCAAATTGGAACATGGAATTTAGGGTAACCCGAATCTGTATTCCAGTGCCCATGCTCACTCATATTTGGCTCCAGAATAAACTATATTTTATCCCTTTCAGGGTGACAGTTGTGTTTTTGCTTCAACAACATCACTGTAGGAGGGGGGTCCATGGATCAGTTTGGTACAGGGACATGTTGTAAGGCCTGATACTCAAACTCAAGAATTTAAGATGAGGCAAATGCCCAAGGTTTCTCACAGTTCATGTTTTAAAGTATCCACACTGGCTGCTTTTGTAGAGGACCTGGGGGTTTGTTCCCAGCACCCACATGGCAGCTAACAACTTCCCCTGTTCCAGGAGATCTGATACCCAGTCTGACCTCCATGGGTACTTATATACATGTACACAAAATACTCATACACATAAAAAAATAAATAAATGTAAAAATAAATAAAAAATTAAAACATGCCAATAAGGTGTGGATGAAAAAAAAACCCAGCTTTTGTTACAAAGAAACAAAATAAATGGTTTATTTTGGAACCAAATATGAATGACCATTAAATTTTGAATGTATTCCAGAAGAGGCAATTGGGCACTTAAGGTTATTATAGCCTTCCCATTAGGACCCAACAAAAGATCACTGCGAATTGAGATTGCAACCCTTTTATTACCAGGTGTCCTTTTCTTGCTGTGGCACCATCTATCGAGCCTGAAGGAGGAAGTCAGAGATAGAGTGGGTAGGTTTTAACAAAACTCAACTATCAAATACACAAATGAATTTTCCAAAAGTATATTAAAATGTAGTGATGGAGCTCAGTTCTGAAGAAGGTGAATCAAGGATAAGATAGAGTTCAGCTGTCTCTTGAAAACAAGAGAATGTTTGGACGTTGGTAGAACACTGCCTCCCAGTCAAGGGCAGAACACTGCCTTGGGATAGTAAGAATGATAGTGGATGGGCTTGTGTTTTCCTTTCTCACAGATTAGAGATCTGGGAAAATGTGGTTAGGAACAGAAAAGAAAAACACCCTTTACTTTGAACTTTGCTTAATTTATGTTTTGCATGCTGTATCCTTGGCTGACCCTGCTTGTTAGGTATAAAGAGCCACTCTTAGAATTAAACTCGCCTTTCTCCACCTGAGAGTTTGGTCCTTTGCCTTCAATCATTCAGTCATCCACCAGCTGACCTGAGTCTCTACAATGTAGCTCTAAGTCTGGCCGTGACAGATGTTCTTCATGTTCAAAGTACATTCTGAATTCAGCATCCCTATGCATACCAAAACCAAAAACACTGTGCAGAAAGCAATTGAATGATGGCCAGTGTTACCAGCTCATAAAAGACAAGAGTAGGTGAGATGAATCAGTTGGTAAAGTGCCTTTCTGTCCCTCATGAAGACCTTAATGAGATCCAGAGAACCCAGGTTCTTTATAGTTGGGGATGGAAGGCAAGCCTTTAACTCTAGAGCTGCGGGGTAAGACCTAGAGGCAGACAGCGGAAAATCCCTGATGCTCACTGGTCAGTCAACCTCACCTTATCAGTGATTGATAAGCTTCAGGTTCAGTTAGAGGCTGTCTTAAATGCAAAAGTGGCGAGAAATTGCAGAAGACACCCAACATGGATCTCTGGCCTCCACAAACATGTACAAGCAGGCACAGGAACACATCCACATATTCATGCTAATAAGTACATAACACACACACACACACACAATTTTAAATTAAGTGATTTGTGACTCTGCATTCCAGTAAGTACTAATTGTTAAGTGAACATCACCTCCCTTGCAGACTCAGGTTGGATCTCAGGTTGGGGTCATTTTCAGTTAGGTATTTCATATTATTGACCTGTTTTCACACAGACTTGATGAGTTAAATGAGGCAAAGATGCTGAGTCCAAGTCTTTGAAGAAAAATCACAAGAGACTCCAATTGTTTGCTTGTAGACTAGATAATGAAAACTTGAACATACTTCACATGGACCTCAAAATTGGAAATGATTATTGTTTTGACAATGCAACTACATTAGAAAACTAAGTAAAAAACAAAATAGTTGAGAAAATGACTAATCACAAGGGAATTGAACCCAGAAGTGGTGCCTGCTTGGAATCCCAGAACTTGGGAGACTAGCGCAGGAAGACTTTGAGTTTGAGCCCAGCATGGGCTATGGTGAAATGATTAAGAAGGAAAGGAGAAAAGGAAGAAGAAAACACTTGAAAACAGAAAAGGAAAGAGCATGAGGGTAACAGAAGGAGGGGAAGAAAAGAAGAGGAAGGAGGGAAGCACAGGAAGCAAGGAGATGACACAGACAAAGACAAGAAGCAAGTAGGTGAGTGTGGACAGAAAAGAGCAGAGTTGAGGGCACAGATGATGGGAGGGAAGAAACAAACAGAAATGGAAGTGCTGCCATCCACTATCTACTGTCATAAAGCCAGTTTGAGGAAGAAGGAGTTCCTTGTGGAAGTCTTCATCTTCTTCCTGTGAACATACGTATAAATATAAATATAAATATAAATATATATATATATAATCATGCCAATAGTTTTCTTTCAGTCAGTGGGATTGTGGTGCTTGTGTAGCAACAGAGGATACCTTGTATGGAGAGAGTATTTTGGAGGAAAAGATGATGATGGGCTCCAGTATTGTAGCTAAAATTCCTCCTGGGAGGTGCAAAACAACTTCCGGCCCCCTCCTCCCTTGGCCCCTACTACAAACAGAAATACAGTTTCACAAAACTAAAGTCTGGGAAACCAGTACGTTTATTGGGCTTACTTACAGACAAGTGGGTGAGAGTTTATTTTCAGGACTGTGGATGCTCCCCTCTTAAGGCAGCACTGGAAAGTCTTTATCCAGGCATGGATAGTGACTTCCCCAAAGCCCTGCAAAATGGTGAGAGAGCCTCCTTCTGGCTTCCTTTTCTTAGACACCCTCAGCCCCTCCCCCTTGTGCAACTAAGGCCCACTGGTTGAATGGGAGGTGTGGCCCACTCTCCCTGCCCCTCCTTTCTTGCAGACTTTTAAGAGTCAATAGTTCGGCTGTGATGATCCTAGGCAAGCAGGTGCAACCAAGCTTGGGAAGAAGGCACCTGCCTATAGTCTGCTGGTCAAAGGACAATCCTATGCAACAAGTATCCGTGCTGTTAAGATTCTTGACATGGGGAATGAGTAGTTGAAGTTCATTTAAATGTGTTAATTATAATGGACATTTGAAGCTGGGTATGGTTACATGGCCCTGTACTCTCATCTACTTGGGAGACTGAATCACAAAGTTTGATTGAACCCCAAGTTTGAGAGCTATCAGAACAATATGTTGAACTGTGCTTCAATAAAATATAACAAAACCTATATTTGACAAACACATTTACTTTTGTAAATAAGGCCTTCGTGCATAATTTCTTACTGTGACTACTTCTGAGTGTAGAGCCCATTTCAGTGTAACTCAGCCTAAGAGAAAACTATTCATGTGAATCAACGATGTGAAAGGTGGGTTGGCAAGATAGCTCAGTGGTAAAGTTGCTGATAGATGAAGTAGGCAATGGATGTATTGGGTTGATCAGGAGAAAGCACCAGGACACAGATAAAACTCCAGCGGAATAGTTTATTAGCAAAGGAACACATGGGACAGATTCCCTTCCAGGTAGGGAAAATGTCTGCCCCGCCCCCCACTGGGTCGTGAGTTGGAGTCTTTTTCTGAAGGGTGCAGAAGGCAGGAAGATAATTTTTTAAATGTTAGGCGAGGGGGTGAAGGGAGAGGGACTGTTAAAACCTGCCCCCTTTAGAGATCAAAGGGAAAGCCTGCTGTGTTGGCCAAACAGTGGAGAAAAGTCTGCTTTTGACTTCAAAGACCAAGGTGCTTTTCTGAGGGGCTTGAGGAACTGTGAGGCCCTCTTGGTGAGGGGGTGGGGCTGCTGTGTATCTGAACCCTAACAGTTGCCACCAAGCCTGACAACCTGAGTCCAAGTCCCTGGAGAGAACTGACTCCTGTAAGTTGTCCTCTGATCTCTAAAAAATTCATGGCATGCTTGTGTACAAACACACACACACACTAAATGTTTAAAAAATAATGAGAAAGGAAAAGGGGTATTGAAGAAAGAGGAGAATTTGAGTCCATTTCAGGTAAACACTTATGGAATGACCATAAAATGCAGTAAATACATGTGGTGGGAAATAAAAGGTTAGGCTGGAGGTCTTCTTGCTCAAATTGTTATAAAAAAATTACTGAGTCAAGTGACTCACACAGTGTCCCATGCTATCGTCTCGCCAGCAAGAACGACGCGGCACACTCAGGATCCTT